CTTGACTATTCTCAGTGCTAGCCTGGGTAATATTGAATTTTCCAAGTGGCCAATTTTGTTCTGTCAACATCTACATTAGAGTAATGGGCCTTTGATATCGGTAGTCCTAATCAATCTAATTGAGCTCCATAATTTAAAACCCAATGTAAATTTAAGGATAATTATAAAGCTACATTTCTACTGCCTGTAACTTACAAAGTTACTAAGGTCATCCATGGCTGGGTGGTTGAGGTTGTTGATTTCAAACCACTTGCCATTCATGTTATAGGTTAGAGTCGCACATTCACGATACTAAATGAATTCTTGCATGTGAAATATAAGCTATCCAGCTATCTTAAGGAATGTCCGTGGTTCCACTCAGTTGCCCATTTGTTTCTGAAATATTTTATGCACAGACACAGAGGGGCTGACCTGAGGTCTTCATTCACCAGTGCCTGAGTAGACTTGCTGTTCTAATCAATATGTATTCATACGCATGATATAACAACATAACAATAACAAGGTGATTAGTCTATCAAAGGAAGAAATTCATTTCATTTCAATCAAATTAGTAATAGAAAGAGCATCGAAACACGAGGCTATCTGATTTGTACGATCGAGTATAAATCAGATTGCCAAGTGTTTTGATGTTCTTTTTCTTTTGTATCAAAAAATTAGTCAAACATAAAAACACATTCCCTGATACCACAATATTAAACCCCACAAAAAAAGTAACCAAGCAACAAGCATCTGAATATGATTTTTCAATGGCTATCCCTTTCTCTGTTGTCACAGAGAATTCATATATTTCTCATTAGTGAATGGCATCAGCAAGCAAATTTGATAATTTATATTTAATTTTGTTTACGTCAGTAAGAAGACACTTTTATATAATTGTTTGTGACCTTCCGTGTAAATTAAGTAAAGGTGAAATATACGATGTCTTGCTTTGGCCAGTTAAAGGACACCTTTTTCCTCTCTAAAAGTCTTGTGTCAAACTTCTGTTTTTAGCTCGACTACTCAAAGAATATGGAGAGCAATTTGTTACAAGCCAGGGGTAATGAGAAAGAAAAGCCAGCAACAAACATGTAACAATAACAAATTTATTACAGAAAAATTATTAAAGAAAAATTAAATAACAATTTATGTTTACAAATACCTGAAGTCCAAATAAAAATGAAATCTCAAATGTCTAGTCTGATCCTTGAATGATCCCTTATTGAACAACACAGTTAAATCAAAGTTAAATCCAAGAACACTTAAGAATAAATTCCCACAATAAAATCCACAAGAATAATTTAATCTATTTGAAAATCCAAGCTCCAATAAATTACTTAATATCAAAGTTGAATAATACTCCAAATGTATTGATGACTTGAAAGGTAACTGATGACTTAAAAGGTAAAGAAAATGAAAAATATTCCCGAATATATACTTAGCTAAGATCATTCCAGATCAGTATATTATGTTCTACAGTAATCATAATCTAGCACCTTCAACAATAAAGAATTATCTGGAAACTTAACATTAACTCTGTCTTGCATTTAGGCTGATTTATTTCACCTTTTCTACTTAGTCTCTTGGTTAATGTTTACATGCAAGTTTTACATTATCTCAATAACTATATAAGATATTTATTTAAAACTTCACACATGCATTTAGGGTCATTAATTGTAGGTCACTGACCAAGATCCATAATTCTATCTGCATTTAGGCTGATTTTTCTCCCCTTTGTCAACTTAAAAATTCATGGTAAAGTTTTGCTTGTAAGCTGTTATCTCCATTAAACTACTGAAGGGTTTGTGCCTTTTTTTGGGATTTAATGCATTCATAATAATAAAGCTGTGATTTACTTGATAAAACATCTTAATAACAAGCCTTTGTACCTTTTTGGTCAATTTTATGTATTCATAGGTGAGCATTATTATACTCAATAAAACACCCTTGTGACAACTTTTTCAAATAATCCAGCCTTTCTGTCCTACGACAGATCTTGTTTACAGATAAAGTTGTGACATTTTAATTCTCAAAAGAAACTAAATTTGACTTCATTTAACATTGAATTAATCACATGCTTAGCTTAATCTTTGTGAAAAAAAATGTAAATGAGAACTATCATATATTTACAGTAACAGTGACTTTAATGAAAGTTCTTCTAAAGAGAATGTTACATCAAGCTACTTATCTATTAACAAGAGCAGTGTGCTCAACTATTCTCAGTGCTTGATAGTAAAACAAGAGCCTGGGTAATGTAGAATTTTCCAAGTGGCCAATTTGGTTCTGTCAACATCTACATTGGAGTTAAGGGCCTTGGATATCGGTAGTCCTTATAAATCTAATTGAGCGCCTTTATTTAAATCCCAATGTAAATTTAAGTATATAAAGCTACATTTCTTCTGCCTGTATTTTACAAAGTTACAACGGGTGTCTATGGCTGGGTAGTTGTTGCTGTTCATTTCAAACCACATGCCTCTCACCGCTATAGGTTAGAGTCACTCAGTTGTCTAAAATGGATTCTTGCATTGTGCTATCCAGCTATCTTAAGGAATGTCTGTGGTTCTACTCATCTGCCCATTTGGTCCTGAAATAATGCGAAGAGGGGCACCTGATGTCTTCTTTACCAGTGCATGAGTAGACTCTATCCACCTGGCATAGTGGTTCCACCTGGCATAGTGGTAGGAGTTTGGAGGTACATAACAGGTATGCAAGCAAAAGGTGTCTCATAAGTCAGAAATGGCTGGCCCTTTCAGTGGGGGTGACACTGTAATAAACAAGACCTTTACCTTTACTTATATCTATAGACATAAAACAATACCTTTGATAAATGTATACAAGGACACAATATATTTATGTGTATCGATACAGATCTTGTAGAAATATTGACAAGTCAATTACACTATATTGATGAAACATTTCTTGATAATTTAATTGGCAGAAAAATAAAATTTGATTTTCAGTTTGAGGGAATACATGTATTTCTCATTAGTGAATGGCGTCAGCAAGCAAAGTTGATAATTTATATTTGATTTTGTCTACATCTGTAAGAAGACACTTTTATATAATTGTTTGTGACCTTTCATGTGAATTAGGCCTCACGAGGCCCGCATGGTAGATTGGGTAACCAAATGTGTAGCCTCAGTAAATAAAGACTTTACTTTCTTTACTTACTTACTTACTTACTTACTTACTTAAGCCCCAGTCACATTAGAGCTCACGACCAGTGAAGACCAGTTCACAATCACCAGTGACCTCTGGTCGCGGACAATCTTTAAAACGTCTTACGACGGTCATCGATGATCTATGACAGTCGCAGGTTATCTTATTTATGTCCCACGACCAATTTCAGTCGTAAAGAGGTTTTTTGAGATTGCACAAAAACCTCCTTGCGATCAAACAGGTCGCTAGTGATCTTATAAGGTCTTAAGGCTGTCGCACAATGATCGTTCGGAAGTGCGACAATCTTACGACAGTCTTTACAAATTGCCACTAGTCACTGATAATCTTAAGTAGTCTTTAGTAATCGTGTGGTGGTCGAACGACAAGTTGTAGGTGATTGCATGTAAATATCTCACGGGTTGTCGTAAGTAATTCCAGGCAATCTTGAGACCATCGTACGTTTACTTATGACCTGTTGTGCGATTGTCAATGATGACTTGTCTTACGATACTCGCAAAAGTAAATTTATCTGTGCAAAAATGGTTTCGGTCGCAGACAATCGCTGATGATCGTCAGTTTTACAAGTCGCCGGTGGTCGCAAGTAATCGTAAGCTCTAGTGTGACGGGGGTTTTACTTAGTTACTTACTTACTTACTTACTCTTACTTACTTACTCTTACTTACTTACTCTTACTTACTTACTTACTTACTTACTTACTTACTTACTTACTCTACTTACTTACTTACTTACTAATTAAGTGCAGCTGAAAAATACAATGTCTTGCTTCGGCCAGTTAAAGGACACCTTTTTTATTCTTTTCTAAAAGTCTTGTTGGAACTTTTTTTATATAGATAAAGTTGTGAGATTTTAATTCTCAAATGAAACTTTTGGCTTCATTAATGCATCATCAGCTGAGCTTAATCCTGCTGAAAATGTAAAAAAAACTTTGCAATGATTAACCTTAACTCTTGCATTTTTTTTCTTTTGAGAACTGTAACATATTTACAGTACCAGTGACTATAATGAAAGCTCTTAATAAAGGAATGTGATATATAAAGCTACTTATCTTTTAACAAGAGCAGTGAGCTCGACTTTTCTCAGTGCTTAATAGTAAAACAAGGGCCTGGGTAATGTTGAATTTTCCAAGTGGCCAATTTGGTTCTGTCAACATCTATAATAGAGTAAAGAGCCTTGGATATTGGTAGTCCTTTTACGTTTTGTAAATCTAATTGAGCTCCATAATTTAAAACCCAATGTAAATTTAAGTATTTAAAGCTACATTTCTGCTGTCTTTAATTAACAAAGTTACTAGGGGCATCCATGGCTGTGTGGTTGTGATTGTTGATTTCAAACCACTTGCCTCTCACCGCTATAAGATAGAGTCACGCAATTGTTTTAAATGGATTCATGCATGTGAAAAAGCTATCCAACTATCTTAAGGACTGTCTGTGGTTCTACTTATGTGCCCATTTGTTCCTGATATAATGCACAGATCAGGGGCACCTGACATCTTCCTTCACCAGTGCCTAAGTAGACTGGCTGTTGTCTATAATTATATAACAACAGGACAATAACTGGGTGATTAGTCTAGCTAACAAATGAACAAATTCATTAAATACCAATCAAATTACTTCAGAATCTACAGATTCAATTGAAGATATAAAATAAAAGGAAAATTACATGAACATGCTAATTGGTCTTGTGAGAATACAACTTTACCCAATCAACTCGAGCTATATTAACAATTGGAATAGTTTTTTAGCAATATCATGTAATAGTCCCTATATTCTCAGAATTCCGTTGAAAAAAGGGATAAATTTAACTTTATATATAAAGTAAAATTGTGATAATTTTTCTGATTTCAGAATTCAAGCATACATCAAGGCCATGTTAGTAACTCATTCATTGATAGAGGTAAGAATTGTTATCAATGTTAACAGAATTTTGTTTGTGTTGAAACGCTCGAGGAGTCTCTGTTTGTTCAATTATTTTAACTGTTTTTTCTTGTCCACCTGTTTCAGTCAGTAAGACCTTGTTCATATTGTGCAAGGCAAACTGAAAAAAAAAATTGATGAATTTAGCTTAGTTGCTATGGCAACCAAATAAATAGTAATTAGTCGCCCAATGTGTTCTTGTTTCTGATTAAGCACAAAAATATGAACTTTTACTGAAATTTTGATGAATTTCTGACACACTGGGCAATTTTTCACTCTTACTGAATCTAGCCCTTTGTCTTTTATAATCGATTCAAAGTTCAATTGTCAATTTTGTATCTCATTGCTGATTTAAAACTCATGAATGATAAGTGGACTGTCTCTTGGTAACAATTGATATAAAAAAAAATTATACTGACTATTTATCTAAGAAAGCAAGTTATCACCATAATTAGTGGTCTGTTTAAGTTTATATAGACTTACATAGTTAAACACATTTAGTTAGGTCTTTTTCTTTGAATTTACAATACCAGAGCTTAAATATTTGTTATGAAGCATTAATGCATTTTCAAAGCAAGGGTCATTATGGCCCTCTTGTTATTCAAAAATGTTCATTGTATTTCTAATAGTGCAAAGTTAATTTCAATATCCCTTTCTGAGATTTTTTTTATGGTACAACCACAGAACAAAGGGAAAATTAGGTTAACTGTCATGGTTTTAGTTTAAATATACATCCGTATTTTATTTGTCATTTAAGAACATATTTTACTTTTATGGCATTTACAATCAATACTAAAAACAGATTAGACTGGAAGCAACTTAATGCTAATTGAAGTATTATCCCATGATTATAGGAGGGATTCCAACTGAATTCATGCTGATTGCCACGTGTTTTTTTTTTGTCTTATCTATGTAATGAAGTTGTTCATAAGTTTTGCTACTTTGTTTGTTTCAGCAACTGTTGTTTATGACAGAATACTTCACCTGTTAGCAAAAGTGCCACCAGATTATCAAGACTGTCTTGTAAGATTACTATTACTTTAATATATTTCTTTTCTTTGATCATGTATATTAAAGATATACTATTCTCAAATTTGATATTAAAAAATATTGATAATCCCTACACAGTCTCTTTGTAAATATACAATAAACATGTTTTTTACTTCTTAGGAAGTTAGTTGTGTTTATAAATCTACACACTGTAGGGGGTCACAATTGAATATGAATACATGTATAACTATACATAGTTTGTACATTCTTATATTCAAGTTATTTTGTTGTGATTAATGCTTCCGAGGGCTCACTTTGTTTCCAAAATTTTAGACATATTCAGTAAGAATTTTATTGCTTGGCTAACATTCCTGACCTTATTGTTTATGAATATCAAAACTTGAACAACATTGATACTTTACAAATGGGGTGTCCATGGTCCCCTCACCACTGTGCCAGTTCATGAAAGGAAGTTGTCCAGCTACTTTACTGAACATTGGTGGTTCTACTCAGATGCCTGTTAATGCCTGAAATAATGCATGGAGGGACACCTGAGGTCTTCTTCTACCAGTAAAGCTGGAAAGTAGCCATATGACCTATACTGTGCCAGTGCCAAGTAAAACCCAACCAAATATTTTTAAAAACTTGTTACGAACAATAACTAATAAAAGTTTTTACAAATGTTTTCTTTTAACATACAGGTTTTGTTTTTTTCAGAGATATCTGCAGTCACAAAGATTGGACAGACTGTATCCAAGAGCAGTGACCTATCTTGCAAATCCAAGGTCATTCTCACTTGACCTTGACAAAACCCCACTTGATAGTACGTAAAAGCTTAGTTAAAGTTATCATTATTAACATTAGTGAGTATTAAATACATTTTGCAGTGAGAAAGTTTTCACTGAAACCTTATTCTAATGGTTGTAAATGCACTTTTGAATAGAGTTTTTTTTTTAAAAAAAATGCCTAAAAGTGAGCTTTCATATTGAATAACCTTGAACTTGACCCTGTGACCTTTATTTAACTTCTTAGCTAAAGGCCTCGAAATTTGGAATTTGTCCAACGATGGAACTCTCATATCAGGCAACACATGTGTATTATTTCAATCACCAAAGCCATGTAAATGTACAAACACTTTTATTTACTTTTAATTGATATAGACATAATTATTAGAATGAAATATTATATATCATTCAAGCATATGTTTAAGATATTATTCATGGTATGTAGAGGTCAGAATTTTTCGACATGAGTACAAGTCATGTAGTAGCTTTAGTTACATGTATACATGTATATTGTTTTTCAGTGAAATGCAATATATTTTACTATATAGTTGGTTTAATCGCATTATTGCACTCCTATTTCCTCATATTTCAATGATATAAATTGTGTAGCAGCATGGTAGTGTGGTTAATGCATGGTACTAATTATCTAAGGATTTTTAGCCATGTTAGTTTAAATCCAGTCAGTGGCAAGCTGTTGTTTCCTTGAGCAAGAAACTTTACATTCATTGCTTGTTACAACTTGGTTTTCCAGGAATAGATTGGAGAGTGTGTCTATAAGCTAATAGCTTCCTACATAATTAATATAAAATGAATATATTCTGTATAAACTAAAGATTAACATTCAGATTAATATAGATCTCTGATGTTAAACCCACAGGAACTTGACATTCTGTCAAATAACCAACATTATTGATTATATCCAAAAATACACCCTATATAGTTTAAATAAACAAATAAATGTTTTTGTATATTATATAGGGGGTATATTTTAAATGTTAACATTAATATTGATAGAATGTCAAGTTCTTGTAGGTGAACTTAGTAAATGTCTTGAAATTCGTGTTACTTAATAGCTTGAATCTACAGTACAGCTATGAATTTGAACTTCAAAAATGATTATGTAGGGTAATAAACAAGCTCATGATACTTGTGGGGTATGAAAGATTATTTGAAAGATTATTTCAACTATGTATTGCTTATATTTCAGGTTATTTTGCTAGTGTGTCCACATTGAGTCAATTGACAACACTGGCTAGACAAATGCATAATGATTGTGTAAACACATCTTCACATAAATATATTGCACATCAGCTGGCCCTCATGTATGTAAGTATATATATATACATGTATTTTTTCTTTTGAATCACGTTGAGAGGTTATTCTATAAAGCCACCTCTTTTCTAGGGAGCTCTGAAGCCAAATGTTTAATAACATTAAGCCAAATACTTATTTGTTTTAAGTATGCAAAGCTCAAGTTTGAAGTATGCAAAGCCCATGTTCAAGGTATTGCAAAACATATTTCTGAAGTATGCAAAGCTTATGTTTGAAGTTTGCAAAGTTCATGTCTGAGGTATGCAAAGCTCATTCTGTAAAGTATGAAAAACTCATGTCTGAGGTATGCAAAGCTCAAGCAAAAAAACATTTCAACTAATAAAACTATAGTCAGAATTACATTTTTACAATATGGTAAGTCTTATTAGATAATAAGATAATTTGTATTACATATATGGGGAGTAGCTTTTAGTATTTTGCTAAATGATAAGCAAGTTATTCTTTATTCCAGCAAACCATCACTCAGATAAAGAGTCCACTGTTTGAGCAGCATAAGAAAGGGATAGAAGAAATGTTTAAACCCATCAAGGCAACGCTCGCCACCACAGACGATAAACAGATAAGATGTTTAACACAATCTCAACAAGAATGGTATGTAACATATGCATAAATTATATTCTAAATAACATTAGAAAAAATATGTTCCAAAATTGTATGAATTACTGTAATGACTCATGTTAAGAAATTTTCAAGTTGGTTGTTAAAATAATTTTTTTTTTTTTAGGTTGCTTGACCTTACTAATCATATCTTGAATACTGTCAATACATTCCCGGCAGATCTTACACAAGATATGGTTCAACCAGCTTCGGTACTGCAACAAAAGTCAACATAATTTCCACTAGGGCATGGAAAAGAATGATTTCTTTAAAGTTTTTATGATAAAAATTGCAGCATCAAGTCTAGCTGGAATAAAACAGACCTGGATATGTAATATTTTTTAACTTGAGCCCAGTCTAAATACTCTGATCATTGATTGGTCAATTTCTGATGCACATTTTGAAACTGACCAATGAAAACAAATTGTATGTAGACTGGTTTGTCAGAATCTGACTAATACATGTGTTACAACTGATAAAACACGACAACCATTCCCATGAAAAAAAAGCACTTTTTTGTCATTACATTTTACAATTCTGTTTTATATCTATGAAGGATGTAATATATAGGCTATTAGGAAACATAAATTTTTGTGCACAAAATGTTGGTAGTCTATAATGTAAGGAAGGTTGAATCTTAAGTTCAAAATTGTTTAAAGTACAATGTATTTTGTGAAGTACAATGTGTATTGTATACTTATGTTTAAACAACATTCTTCATCAACGTGATTTGGAATCTTGTTGGTTTTAATAACGAAGCTGACCTTTCTGAAGATTTTCAAGTCACACTACTAAACATGTGGACACATTTGAACTTTTAACCATTTCTTGTTTAAGTACTTCTCAGCTGACATTTTAAATATGTTTGGTGTCCTATCTCCTTACCAGTTCCTCTTACATGCTAATTTTTAGAGACGTAGCAAGATATGTAATAAAGACATATTGTTGAAAACAAACAAAGGACATCACGTACGAGACCAAAACCTAATATGACAAGTCATGTGTGTACTTTTAGTGTCGTACTTTTTTGGCCTTTATTAGCTCACATGGTGAGCTTTTGTGATCGCTTTTCGTCCGGCGTTTGTCCATAACTTTTAATTGAAACGACATCTCCTCATAAACCAAAAAGCCAATTTCATCCAAACTTCACAGGAATGTTCCTTTGGTAGTCAACTTTATTTAAAAGTATTCAAAGAATTAAATTCCAAGCAGAACTCTGGTTGCCATGGCAACCGAAAGAAAAAACTTGAAATATCTTCTTTTAGAAAACTGCAAGAGCTAGAGCTATAATATTTGGTATGATAGGGCGCCTAGTCAGTGTCTACCAATTTTGTTCAAATAAATGCCCTTGCATCAAAATTGGCCACGCCCCAGGGGGTCATTGATTTTCCTTATTTGTATTTAGTAAAAATTTAAAAAATTGATTTTCCTTATTTGTACAGTCAGTAAAAACTTAAAAAAAAATCTTTTAAAAACCCCATGTTAAGCATGAAACATCTTCTATTGGGTGTCTACAAAGTTTGTCCAAATAAATGCCCTGGGGTCAAAATTGGCCCGACCCTGGGGGTCATTGATTTTCCTTATTTGTCTATAGTAAAAACTTAAAATATTTTCTTTTAGAAAACTGCAAGATGTAGAGCTTAAATATTTGGCAGGAAACATCACCTAGTTAGTGTCTACCTAGTTTGTACAAATAAATGCCCTGGGGTCAAAATTGGCCCAACCCTGGGGGTCATTGATTTTCCTTATTTGTCTATAGTAAAAACTTAAAATATTTTCTTTTCGAAAATCGCAAGAGCCAGAGCTTAAATATTAGGCAGGAAACATCACCTAGTCAGTGTCTGTACCAAGTTTGTTCAAATCAATGCCCTGGGGTCAAAATTGGACCCGCCTCGAGGGATCATTGATTTTCCTTATTTGTATATAGTAAAAACTTAAAAAATCTTCTTTAAAAACTCCAAATAGCTAGAGCTTAGATATTAAGCATGAAACATCTTCTAGTAAATGTCTACCAAGCTGGTTCAAATAAAAGCCTTGGGGTAAAAATTGGCTCCGCCCCAGGGGGTCATTGATTTTCGATATTTTGTATAGAGTAAAAACTTTAAAAAATCTTCTTTTAAAAAACCAAAAGAGATAGAGTTTAGATACTAAGTATGAAATATTTTCTAGTTAGTGTCTGCCAAGTTTGAATTAATAAAAGCCATGGGGTCAAAATTGGCCCCTCCAGGGGGAGGGGGGGTAGTCATTGTTTTTTCCTATATGTATATAGTAAAAACTTTAAAAAATCTTCTTATAAAAACCCCAGAGTTAAAGCTTAGATATTTATCATGAAACCTCTCTAATGGCTGTCCACCAAGTTTGTTCAAATAAAAGTCCCTGGTTTAAAATTGCCATTGGCCCAGGGGCCTATATACAGGTGAGCTATTTCAGGGCCATCATGGCCCTCTTGTATTTAATTTCAACATTTTGGCTGAATTTAACTTGTAATATAAAAGGTGAAACAAAACTCTGCTTATTCAGTGTTGCAAAAATTAAAACCAAGGTAAAAGTTTAAATTTCTGAAGTGGCAAAATTAATTCCAGTGATGTTGCAATGTATAAAAATTTAGAGAATTGGGATTTTTTTGTTTTTGTTTATTATTGGTGATTACTTTGTAGATATATAGTTATAGATGTTTATAATTACATTGGGTATTTGTATATTGTAGACTTAAGGGTTATGTATTGGAAGAATAATTGATATGGTTTATTTATTGTGTTTGTATAAAAATGTATATGAAAATGTGGAAATTGTTAAAATGTCTGTTTAAGATTTTGTCACAGAAAGCGAATTTCACTTTTATTATGAAAAAGAAAGATTTATGCTTATTAAGGTGACTTTGTACAAAAGAAATAAAAGAATGTACAGGACAAAGGAACTGTTTTTTCAAAGTTCCATATTTTTGAGATTTTTTGCTAGAGTAATTAAGCTTATTCTAAAGGTTAGAGAGAAATGCCGTAGAGTTGTGAATTACTGAGGTCACTCACTGTCTGTTGTCCAACCAAACTTTTTAAACTACAGTAGAATTTTGATGTGTCTAACTTTGTTAAGTCTATTTTTGTCGATTTTTTGAAGAAAAATTGAAGCCAATTCTTTCCCCGAAAATTTAAAATTTTTGAATTTTGATTATTTTTTTGTTTCAAGTCCAAATTTTTTCCCCCCTATACTTTCTGTATTAAAATCCAGACCCAAAATTTTTATGTGTCGTTTTTTTCAAATTTTACAAGTCAAAGAAAAAAATTCAAGAGTTTTTACCAACATGAAAATAACCCAAAACTCTTTTAAATTTTAAACATTTTTAAGTTTTTGGGGACATTTTTTTTGGAAAAATTTTTTATACCAAAAATTAAGAGCCATGTTTTTTAAAAAAAGCCTTTTAGATAAGTTAAATTTCTGTGAGAATTTTTCCTTTATAAATACAAATTTATTCCCTTGGGACTTTCCTAAACCAGGGTGGCATAAAAATTTCTAAGGGCCCTTTTTAAGGGTAAAAGGGACCCCAACTTTTTTGTCTTTAAAATTTAAATATTAAAACCCACAACCAAATTTCCCAAAAGTTTTTGAATTTTTAAATGAAAAGCCCTTTAACTTTGAAAATAGGGAATTCCCAACGTATTTCTTTTTAACTTTACCAACGGGCCAAGTTCCCTTTTCTTTTAATTCAAATTAATTCAATTTGTTTTTTTGGTTGCAAGAAAATGAAAATAAAAAATTTTATAAAAATTTTTTTCCTTAAAAGAAGATACTAAATAGTGTCACACTTTTAAGTTTACAAACTAAATTTTAGTATTTCCAAATGTTTTTTATTTTTGTGTCTATTATCATTAATTATCCCCCCACAAACACAAATTTTATGGGGGTATATAGGTCATTTTTCCCACCTTTTTAAAGTTCAAAAAAATTTGGGTTTTGGATTTAAACATTTTTATAGAAAAAAAGGGGAATTCATTAAAGCACAGGGGACGGATTTTTATCAAAGCCTTTTTTTGGGCCTCTTTTGTTTCAAAGCTGCTGTTTCCAAAAGTCTACGGCTCTTTTGGATGATTTTTAAAATGCTTAAATTAAATCATTATTTTCAAAGATTTAAGAAATAAATTTATACCTTAAATACCCTTTTTTACCAAATATAGGGGTAAATATATTCTATAAGCTTAAAATTCTGCCATGATAAAAATAAGGAAATGCCCAAAAAAGTTTTAAATGCTAAAATTCAAAAAGTTTATAAAAGCAACTATTAATATTTCACATACCCACCAAGGGTTATAAAAATATTAGTACCTTTTTTATACATTTTGTATTTGAAAAATCAAAAAAGCAAATATTTTTTGGGGAACTTGTTAAACTTTTTTCATAATGATTGTTTATTTATTCATCTTTTGTTTCTAACCATTTAATCATGATACATTTCAACGAAAGTAAACATTTTGCCAAAGAAATGGGAAAACGTACATGCGAAGGTAACTACTTAATTAAAAATTTACTTTAAAAATTGTAATTGGGGTTTTGAATCTTTTATTAAAACATAGTTAAAAATTTGGGATATTTTATCATTTATCATTTTTTCTTTGATTTTTTTAAAAAGGGCATATTTAAAATTATTTTTCCCATATTCAAAAATAAACAAAAAATTTAATATTTTTAAAAAACGGGGACACTAAAATATTAAATTTTACCCTTACTTTGAGAAATGGGGTTTATTTTACTTTTAAAAGGCACTGTGAAGGGTCGAGCTTTAAACGACACTTTTTTATGAGAAATAAAAAAAAATAAATTTTTTAGGTCAATTTCCCCTTATTTTCCTCATTTTTAATTTTTAAAACCCCACCATGGAAAACCCTAAAAAATAAAACCTCCCCATTAAATGGGGCCGAAAAAAACCATTCATCATTTTTAGGGAAAATTGTCAAAATATGTCATTGAATAGCAAACAGTGCAGACCATGATTAGATGGCTGAACTTGGTTTGCAATGATTGCAAATGTATATTCAGTCACTGCTAGCAGGCCTAAGGTTTTTTAGCTCGACTATACGAAGTATATGGAGAGCTGTCCTACTCGCGTCGGCGTCCGCGTCCAGATTTTAGATTAAAGTTTTGGTGCAGTAAAATATTTTTCACTATTTTCACTAAAAACTTTGTCATTTCTTAAGGTATCAACTTCAAACTTCAAAATATGTGTTCCTTATCATCAACCACATCTTATGTGACAAGGTTCATAACTCTAGCACCAATATTTTCAGATTTATCTCCCCTTGAACTTAGAATTTTCCTCAAAAAATACTATTTCTTCTTTATTTCTTAAGGGATCAACCTCATACTTCAGATATATGTACCTTATCATCATCCCCATCTTATGTGACAAGGTTCATAACTCTAGCACCAATATTTTCAGATTTATCTCCCCTTGAACTTAGAATTTTCCTCAAAAAAAATACTATTTCTTCTTTATTTCTTAAGGGA